TTTAAGTGATTAAGAATATTTTGATAATATACAATAAAAAATACACTTTTGAGATTTTAAAGCAATAGATTTCAGTAAAGACACTGGTGATCCTGAAACAGTTATAATATAAAATTATGGTACTCATTCAATTTATCAAGGGGCAAAATACCACAAATCCAAGAAGAAAATTTCCGCCTGAGAGCCTCCAAAATAGTCCTGGCCTGTGGTCCCCTCACCAACAGCTGTGAGGTTGCCTCTACACCAGTGATTCACAAACTCAACTGGGCCACAGACCTCAATGAGAAGTTAATGAATGCTACAGAACATTGCTCCTTCTAAGCACACATTTCCTAAAATATCCCATACATTTTAGAGAATTCATGAGCCCCAAGATCCAAACCATCAAATTCAAATTAAGTTCTCTCATCTTAGAACAATCAGGAAATAAAATACAAACTCATACATAATCTTCACAGAACTGCCATGATTTTACTCAAGGACCAGAGACAGAGCTTTCAATAAAACAAAACGACAAAAAAAAAGCAACTGTATGCTTTGTATGCTTACTTTGTATGACCTTCAAACTGTCTGAGGGGAGCCCTCCCACTTATATCAAAGAGCTGAACTCCACCATCTTCACTGCCAGCCACAAGCAATTTACCATCCTGTCGAAAAGTAGCACAGTATGCTGTGTCTTTAAACCTGGAAAAGGTTTTGATAGGTTCTTGGGAGTATCTGCCATAAATGTGAATCTGTAAGATAAAAAACAGTATTTCATCAAATTGCTTGAGATCAGCAGTAAATTATATATATATTAAAATTTTTAAAATTATCATTGTACTTACTCTTGAAGAAGCTGTGACTGCATAGTTATATGGAGGCTGAGGGGAAAAGTCTACTTTTGACACTGCACCAAATTCTTTAATCTGAACAGGGGTCTTAATGAAAAATATAGAGTATTAACAGAGTTACAACTGGGAAGGCCTATTTAAGCATTACATAATTTCTTACAGGTCATTTCTTTTTGTTCGTAGTAACATTTATTAGTTTACATTCTACAGACATAAAAAAGAAGCAAAAAAGGTCCTTCTCCCATCACCTACCCTATTCCTGTTGCCATTAAGGGTAATAAACATGTGGCCAGCAAAGCCACACCTTATACCCTATCTTCAGCAGTGAATTTACTGCACTATTCCCACCAGTTATACCTATAAAAGTATACATTTAACTATGTCTTAAAATGAAAACAAAGATGATCATACCGTGCAGGCAGTTCTACCCTTTTTTTTTTTTTCACTAAATAACCCATTTTAGCTAACTTTTTATATTAGCAATAGATTTAACATCCTTTAGAAAGACAACATACTTTACAATCCTGGCCCAATAGTAACGAATGGACTCAAAAGTTTTTTGAGAATTCTTTTACTACATATAATACTTTAATAAAAATCTTTATTCAACATTTTAGCAAACTTTTGGAAGTATATTCATTATGTTCCAAGATGTGAGACTACCAAGCCAAAAAGTATATGCATTTAAAAAAATCATAACAGATGTCAAAGTGCCCTACAAAACATATGCACCAATCTCCCTCCCCCAACTATGACAATAAAAATTTTTCATTTGTGCCAGATGAACAGTACCTGACTTGTCTTAACTTGCATTTTTAATCTGAGTGAAACTTAGACTGTTTTAATGTATTTATTGGCCATTTATTATTTCTTTTTCCATAAACCTCTTAATCCCATACTTTTTTCAGTTTTCTAGTTAGCCTTTTTGTTTTTGTGGTAGTGGGGATTGAACTTGGGGACTTCACACCTTGTGAGTGACATCCCCAGCCTTTAAAAAAATTTTTTTTTTGTTTCCGGCGCCTGCCTTGCAAGTGCAAGGTCCTGAGTTTGATCCCCAGTTTAAAAAAAAAAAAAAAAAAAATTTTTTTTTAGTCAGGGTCTTACCAAGTCACTAAATTGCCCAAGCTGAGCTTGAATTTGTAATCCTTTTGTCTCAGCCTCCCAGAGTGCTGAGATTATAGGTACTTACCACCATGCCTGGATTAGTTTTTCAGTTAAAAAAAATTATCTGTAAGCCTTATTACAATTGAGAAAATTAAAAAAAAAAAACTAATTTCACAGAACTTTTTAAGAAAAACAAGAAAATACCTTCTTGCATATGAGATTAAAATTCTAAAATTTAAATCATTTGACATTGATTAGTCATGTGTTCTGTGCTAAGTACTTGTATGGCTAAAATGATTAAGCAGCATAGGCTTTTATATAAAGTCCAAGAAAACACAAGCTCACAGTTTTTAGTTAATATTTTTTTGTTTTGTTTTGTTTTATTTTCTTGAGACAGAATCTCGTCATGCAGTTCAGGCTGACTGCGATCCTTTGGCCTTAGCCTTCTGAGAGCTGGGATTACAGGCATGTGCTACCACACCCTGCTTTAGTTAATATTTCTGTTAAGCATATCCAAAGTACAACAAATGCTGGAAGAACTGGCATAAACAAATAAATACATGGGCTGGGGATTTAGCTCAGTGGTTCCGCGGCCTGCCCTGCAAGCACAAGGACCCGAGTTCAATCCCCAGTACCTAAATAAATAAATAAGTAAATACATAAATCCCCTCCTCCATCCTTGTCTCCCATACTTACCTTATAGTTATTCCAGTATAGGGTATCTTGGGTGATTTTTTCACCAAGTATAGGATATGTCTGAATAGCCGCAGGCTTATAACCAGCCATGATTTCATACAAGTGTCCAAGAGTGAATAATTTGCAACTGATATTAGAAATAAATCTGAAAAAGAAAATATTTTAAAGGATGTATTATTTATAAACTTGTACACATAGCTGATTTTTTTTTTTTAACTCTACTTTCTTTCAGAAGGCTATGTGGAAATTTGTAGACTAGTGACTAATAAATCTTTTAAGAGACCATCTAAACAAAACAGGAAGAGCTACTATAACGTGTGATCTACTCAGCTGTACGGACAGGCTGTATATAAAATGTTCTCACACCTACCCGGCTAGGTTGGACACCGGAATAAATCTGGCTCATACTTCCAGTAGTCAAGACCAGAGAAAAAAACACACTAGCTTATAGTGCTAATTTTTTGACAACAGGAAACATTAAGATAAAACTACAAACACACCAGATCTGCTGGTGCACATCTGCCATTCCAGTGCTTGGGACACAGAGGCTGCAAGATCACCGTGAATTAAAGGACAACCTGGTCTACACAGTGAGAACTCATCTCAAAAAAATAAAAAACAGGTACAAAAATATAGTATATATACTTGGCTTCCTGAAAGCCTAAAACTGCCAAGGAAAAGAAAATAACTCTAACGTACAGCTTAAAAAGCTAAAAGTTAAATTGGAAAGTAATGTTCCAACACAGCAGCTTAAGTTAATTTTATAAGGTTTAAATAGCAGCAAAGAAAAAAGAATAAAGCAATTCCAAATTAAAGGGACAGAATGAAATAAAATAAAACTAATTATAAAAACCAAAGACAAAAAATAAAACTTTTAACTTTAACATGTCATGAAGCCAAAACATCTATCCAGAATTATTCAACTGCAAAAGATTCAATTTTATCAGGTGAATGATTTTAGTGGTTACTGTTCATCTCTTCTGAAAAGCCTAAGAACATGACATTAGTGACATCAAAACAAATAGTGTGACATTTTTTCTTTTGGGGGGGATAGGGTATCTCACTATGAAGTCCAGGCTGGCCTTAAACTTGTGATCCTCCTGCTGCAGCTTCCCAACTGCTGAGATTACAGGTATGTGGATACTATGCGATGATAAGAAGCGCTCACATACCCAATCTTCTCCATTTTAGCTGGTGACGGGCTCCAACTAGGAATCTAGATTCAGCCTTGGTTTGTCCTTCTCACTCCTAACAGCAGGATAGTTCATAAGATCCACCAACTTTATTTCCCAAATCTTTGTTAACATCACCAAATTGAGTTCATCCCTAGCTCCACAGCCCTAATTCACTCATCTACTGACACTCTAACATCTCCTTGACTCTCTCATCCATCTTCCAAACAGTCACCAGTGGGCCTTTGCTCCAAACTTAATACTTCCAGAAAATCAAGTTCAAGCTCCATAATACGGGCCATCTAAGGTCCGCTCCAATCTGATTACCCTTTCAACTCCATCTCTTGTTATTACCAACAGTTTATTGTTAAAACACCATTCTCATTCTCGCCTCAATGTCTTGTCTCTTGTGATCTTCGCCAGGAATGCCCTCTATCTACTTCCTATTTAACATTTAAGGCTCAATTCAGCAATCAGACTGTGCTATAAGAATCCTCTGCCCTCAAGAGGCTGGATCCTGTCTTCTAAGATCCTATTTACTCTGAATATTTCTGTCAACGAACGTAATCACATGGCATTGTGATTATTTCTTTTGCCTGCTAAACCGAACAATTCATGGCTGGGAAGATTTTTTACAAAGTGCTCAAATAACGTTTGTGGAAGGAAAGAGAGAAGCGACACAGTACGAAAAACAGGGGGCAAGAAATAAAGTAAAAATAATGAGGAAAATGATCTGGTCGTGGCAAATGCATAAGAAATTGGTTTTAGGTGAATTAACAGGTACTACGGCAATCATAAATGCCACGAATAACGTACAGTATACTAAAAGCTCAGAAAAGGAACATTTTTAATTCTACCTGGAAAGAGCGTGCCATTTCTGAGCCCTGTAGTTTAATATTACACCAGCTTCATCGTTTGTGAGGGGCGCCAAGACGGGGGTTCAGAAAGGAGACAACGTAGGACCACTCGAAACTCCGAGAACCTTGGAAGCAGAGGCAGCGATGGAATTCTTCCCACTGCCTGAGAATGGTGCGTATTACTTCGGGCGCTGATGAAAGTGGACAGGAGAGTGAGTCATTGCAGAAGGAAACTTGAGTCGAAAATAAACTGTAGGACCCTGAGAGGTAGGTTAAGGAGTTTAGGCATCTCCTGCGGAGCCAGCGTATGGCACTAACCACAGGGAGGCCTGAAGAAATTCCGGCTATCTTCGATAGTATCTGCCTTACCTACCTCCGCTGTGGCCCGGGGGGTCCGCCGACGCCCACTGGTTCCAAGGACAACTTCTTGCACTTCGACGGCCCCCTACACCGTGCCTTTCTGAATCACTTGCGCAAAATCACGCGGAACCTCCGGGAGCCCAGAACACACGGCCAAGAGAACGGCGCGCGGAAATGACGTCACTGCGCATGCCGACGATTACGTAACGCGCAGGCTCACGAGACTCACGCAACCCGGAAGACTCAGGGGCGGTCAGGAGGGCGGGGCAAACGGGAGGAGGAGTAGCCACCGGAAAAGGCTGAGGCGTTGCTCTAGTGACCCAGAGCTGTCACCTGAAATGACTCTATCACTGTAGCATTCCCGCAGGTGGACTGCGGAGCATAAAGGCAGCTTAAAAAACCCCAGAAATCCTGGAAATCCTCTTGGGCGCAGCGATATGGAACCTTTTCTTGCTAGAAGGCAAAACAAGAAATCGGAAGTGACGTCGCGGCCAAAACAAGCGCAGGCTTGAGGTCTGTACCGAATCTGGGTCCCAAGGCCTCCCAGGGAAGGGCCGACCGCTCCATGCAAGCTCCCCCCCCCGGACCCCTGGGTCCGCTCTCCTGGGGAGCTCGTTCCCACCTGGGCGCTTGTAGCGACACCCGGGACACCTGTCGCTTGTGGGGCCTCATTCATTTCCACAGCACCTTCCTCTCCATGTAGGACAACTTCAGGGTTTCGAAGAATCGGGGCTTCTACTAGTATCTTCCACTAGCGCCTAGCCGGGTTGCTCTCTTACCGCGTTAGACTTTTCCATCCCTGAGCTCTGACAGATCGAGGTGAGCCTAGCTACCCTTGGCCTTACCTCTTTTTCTCACCGTCTCCTCTTCAGAGTCACCTCTTTTTCTTTTCATCTCCCAGACTTCAAGAATTTGGCTTCCGAGTCAACTTTGCTTCTCCTCTTCAGGGTTGCGCGGAGACAGGCGTTGTTTTCACCTTCCTTCCCCAAGCACCTGTGCTGTTCTCCTCTCAGAGGTTGATGATTCTGTCTGAAAACCCTGATTGATAACATAACCATTTAGAGTTAGAGTATTAGTGCTGCCCATTTCAACACCTTCATTTTGTAATTGAATCTCAGAAAATTTATTTATGGATCCAGGGTGGCACAGCTAATTAGTAGATGTTGGAAGTGTAAAGTCAGATCTAATCAGCAAATATTAGACAGAAAAGAATGTATAAAAATATTAGAGCCCAGATCAGAAAACACTTATGGAGCACCTGGTAGGACCAAGGGCATTTCTGTATGCAATGATTAGTAACAATGGTGTCTATCACAGAGTTTTTGATTTAGTGTTGAAAAGACAGTTTTAAGAGATTGCCAAATGCTAAAAATAGATCCAGATGGAGGGTGCTGAGAAAGCGCAGGGAAGTGGCACTTAGTGGGCCTTTGAGTAGGAGAATGGAGGAAATGGTTCTTCCCTCAGCAAACGCAGTTCACATTGTACATTGTCATTTAAGGACCCAGAGACTTCCTGCATTGCACTTCTATCTCCACTTAAGTCAGTAATTTTCTATTCTGGTTTCTTCCTTTTCTTTTGCTAAGATATATTACTTTTGTCACCTATTATTTTTGTTTGTATTATTTTTTCAGTTCTTTCTCCTAGGAAGTTTTGTACTAGTTGAGTGCCTGCTGCTTATTTTAATGGTCAGAGTGATGGAATTAGTAGAGGTGGATAAAATTCCTCATAATCCACGAAGCTTCCTTTTCCTCCTCTCCTAGGTGCACAAGATTACCTGCACTGCCTACTCAAAAGATTGTTAAAAGGATCGGTGTTTTAAAACTGTAAACAGTGGTTATCTATAACTGTATGGTTTGCTAACCCCTGCTCCACTGTGATCCTAATGCATTTTTCTCTTTTCATTCTAATTTTAAAACTCAAAATTTCTAAAAGGGAGTAAACTCTAATGTGAAAAATCAACTGGGTATTCATTTTCTTCCTGTCTCGAGGGATCATCTATCTGGGACAGTTGGATATCTTGAGAAGCCAATCTATAATTTACATAGTTTATTTTTCACAAAAATCTACATTAAGTTGCTAATGCTTAATCTGAACAAAAACTGATAAATACGTCATCAGTTCATCAAAACTAAAGCTTTGTAAAGCTTTTCACTAGCGAGGAATCACAAGTGTTACAAATAGCAATGCTATAAAGCTAGATGTAACACAAGTTATAACAAATTCAAACTAAGCACCACTTAGATAATCATAGCATGTTTTTAAAAGTGAACTTCAAGTAGGAGGTTAAAGTTTTAAAATTGAAAGTTTGTTTTCATTGGTAGCTAAATCTTTTGGAAGTGGTGACTAAAATTTGTTAGAATGTAATAATAGAGGTGATGATGTTTTGTTTTGTTTTGTTTTTCTGGTACCTGGGCTCAAACTCAGGACCTTGCGCTTGCAAGGCAGGCAAGGTGCCACTGAGCTAAATCCACGGCCTGATAATGTTTCTATGTTTCACTTATTCTTTACCAAGATCCTCCAAGGTTTATAGTGGTAACCCTGTTTTACAAATAAGACAGGCTCAGAAAGGTTCAGCAAGTTGTACAGGTCACACAGCTAATAGATGGTAAAACTTGTATTCATACCTAGGTTTCTCTACCTCTGGATATTGTAGGCTTTCTATTATGTAATAGATTCTTTAAGAGCACTGTTTGGATACTTGATTGAAAATTATTATTTTTTTTTTTACTTTTTTACTTAAGTTGATATACTTTTAATTATCTAATATTTTTCTTTCAGATTTTTAAATATCTAAATTCTAAGAATACACTGGATATCACTCTTATAATTCCAAGAGGAAATCATGAAGAAGTGTTTTAATTATTGAAAACTATAGTTGAAATCATGGCTACATCATCAAACCTGGATATTGGAGCCCAGCTGATAGTGGAAGAGTGTCCCAGCAATTATGGTCTCTCTGGCATGCCAGACATTAAAATAGAACATCCACTGGACCCAAATTCAGAGGAAGGATCAGCTCAGGGTGTTGCCATGGGAATGAAATTCATACTGCCCAACCGCTTTGATATGAATGTGTGTTCCCGATTTGTGAAATCCTTAAATGAAGAGGATAGTAAAAATATTCAAGATCAAGTTAATTCTGACCTGGAAGTGGCATCTGTCCTATTTAAAGGTTGAAAGTTATGGTATAAATATCTGCCTTTGCTTTTATTTGAGTGGGGATTTTTTGTTGTTGTTTTGATCTACGTTTTGGTTTTGTTTTCTTTCTGTTCTTTTGGTTTTTTCTTTTTCCATCATGGGATTTGGAGTTCAGGAAGAGTTTGGAAGACATCTTTTAATAGGATTTTCTAGAATCTCACAGAAACCAGAATTAAGTAATTTCATATTACATAATGTCTATTTTAAAGGAAATAGATTTTTAAAAAATTTCTTGCCTATTCTTTATTTATGAATTCTCTAATGAAGTTTTTATTGTACCTTTTAAAAATCATAGGAGAAAAATTCCTCACTCCTTTTTTTTTGGGTACCGGTAATCGAACTCAGGACCTTGCGCTTGTGAGGTAGGCGGCAGAACCACTGAGCTAAATCACTGGCCCCTCCTCACTCCTTTTTGAAATGAATTAGCTTGATATTCCCTGTTCGTGAATATTTCATTTGTAATAGTTTCAAATGCTTTAATTCAGTAGTCTGTCAACATACTTTAGATTTACTTTTATAATGATCTATTGAATAATAAAATAGAATGAAATTGCTCAAGATTAATAATTTTCTTTCTGGAACTTTCACTTTGGTAGTATAGACTTTTATGACCAAAAAAATGTAATATCACATAATTGTGCTTAATTAACACTATTATACTACATAATTTCTTTTCTAATGTCAACATTGACATAGGACTTTTATTGAAATGCTTTGTCATTAAAATATTGTTTTAATGTGTTTAAATTTATTTTTTCAGCTGAATGCAATATCCATACATCTCCTTCTCCTGGAATTCAAGTAAGACATGTCTACACACCCTCTACCACAAAGCATTTCTCACCCATTAAACAGTCAACTACTTTAACCAACAAACACAGAGGAAATGAGGTCTCTACCACACCTCTGTTAGCAAATTGTAAGTATGTTCTACTAATGTGTTAAAATGTTATTGCTAGTAGAGTAGTTTCAAGACTTTGGCTTTGAAATACTATTTTCATGAAATCCACAATCTCTTTTTGAAAACTGAAATGATGTCCTCATACTTTTAGTAACTTAAAACTTTTTCATATATCATTACATATTTAAATGCTAACGTCTTTCTCTGTTGAGAAAAAATACAGATTGAAATGTTAATTATTAAAAACTTTATATATCTTTACTTTAAAAACAGTAATTGGCTGGCATGATGGCACACACTTGTAATCTCAGCACTCAGGAAACTAAGGCAGGAGGATTGCTACAAGTTCAAGGCCAGCCTGGCTGGGCTACATAGTGAATTCAAGGCCAGCCTGAACTACAGAATGAGACCCTATCGCAAGAAAATAAAAACAGCAATTAGTTGTGAACTTTTTGCAAATTAAGATGTTGTCATTATATTGTGTTTTTAGTGCAAAGTTTCATGTTTTACTTATAAACAAGATCACTAATAAATGATTTTGTAGGAAAAGCTGAGTGATTTCTATTATAATGTTGCTTTTGAATATAATAGTTTGAATACAAAACCACCTCTTTTAAAACTTTGAATCCATAACTTTTAAGGATGTATGATCATTATAGAGAAAATGAAGTTTTTCTATTTAAGTTAAAAATATTCAAAGCAGAATAGATATATAAATGAGTGATAAACAGCAATTTGATGTTAATCACTGAATTTGAAAATATAATATAAATATACCTATATTCCAAAGCTCTGTGAAATCTTTATTTTTTTGTTGGACATACTAAATCCCTCCTGATTTCTGAATTGCAAGCTGTAGTAGCTAAGCCAAAAGGAGTCTTCCTCTAGGCCTCTCCCTCCACCTGTTGGCACATCGGGCTTACTGAAGTCCTCCTAGCTACTTTCCTTTGTGTATTAAGTTACATAATCATATCACTAAGGTCAGTGATCAAGCAATATTAAGGCTTTTTATAAGAACTCCCAAAGAACAATGCCTTTGTGGCATTACTCTAAAGACATTGTCTTAAAATATCCCAACCAGGGCCGGGGCTTTTAGCTCAGTGGTTCTGCTACCTGCCTCAAAAGCACAAGGACCCGAGTTTGATCCCCGGTACCAAAAAAAAAAAAAAAAAAAAAGAAAATATCCCAACCATAGAACTTCTCAACTGAAAAGAAATAAATAGTTACAGATCATTGGTTCAGATCCTTCATATTACAAACAAAAATATTTAATCAGTTATCCAAGATCACTTGGCTGATTTGCCACTATTAGGCCTGTCCTCAAGAATTTACTCTCAAGACCAATTTTCCATTTATGACCTCACTTTTCCTAACGTGAAGGAAAACCCCTGGGCTCTTGAAATAAAAATATTTAGGATTTCTAAAAAGCTAGGCACAATGGCACACCCTTGTAATCCCAGCTATATGGGAGGCTGAGGTGGGAGGGTTACTTGAGAGTTTGAGACCACCCTGGGCAACAAGGTGAGATGCTGTCTCAACAAAACAAAACAAAAGCCAAAAAAATACTTCAATGGACTCAGTCAGTAAGAAGACAAAAAGAATATCTTTGTGTCTTTTAGACCTGTCTTCTTCATAAGGTTGGATACAGAGATAACATTTTTGAAATTAAGTGCCTAAGCCATTTCTTCAGAATAAAATAATTTTGTTGAAAATAACAATTTGCAGATGTCAAATTACAGTACCTTCAGTGAACATGTAATAGTCATTCTCAGGTGCAGAACAGGTACCTGTAATGTTAGGTTATACTTTAACTTAGATTGTTTTAAATAAAAAATGAGTTCTTATTTTGGGAAAGAAATTTGCCCCACAAGCATGAACTGTGGGACAATGAGCACGGCAGATGCACACACAGCGTTTTCTGGTATTGTTTCAGCTTTGTCCATCCACCAGTTGGCAGCTCAGGGAGAGATGCTCTACCTGGCTACTCGCATTGAACAAGGTAACATTAAAGTAAATTCAGTGGGATTTAATAGATTTGTTTTATTTTAATATAAGAAAGTATAAAGATAAAAATAATTGCGTAGTATCACTGGGGAAATAACCCAATGGATAGTGAAAAAAATTAAGTAATGTAAAGTATAAAATTATAGCTTCCCTTACCACTCTAACCTTCTCCATAAAAGAATTACTTCTTATATTTTCAAAAAATTTTTCTAGAAAACGTTTCTATTTTGGGTTATGTGTGAGAACATGTATGTGCTTTTTGTTATTTGCATACACAGACAAATATCATACATATTATTATTAGCTTTTTCAATTAATGGTTTGGAAAGCTTTTCATAGATCTGTTTTGTTCCCTTTAATAATTCTATAATTTAAAAAATTTAAAACTGCATATATATATTTATTTATTTTCTAAACTTTTGCTGCTAAATGACAGTAATATTGGCATTCTTTTAAAATATATCCATTGGGTAAATCTGTACAAACAGATTTGCTGGGTCAAAGGGCATATGATTGTTGTTTGTTTGTTTGTTTTGTCCTGGGGATTGAGCCCAGGGCCTCACACTTAACTAGGCAACACTCTACCACTGAGGTACACACTCAGCCCTGAATTTTTATTTTTGTATATATAACCACATGGTTGGTCCTTGCACTGGAGTTAGTTTCTATTTCCTCATACCCTCACTGACACAGAATATTATCAGAGGTTAATTTTCACTAATCTGTGGGTGAAAAATGGAATCTCACAGTAATTTCTTTATATTTTAAAAATTGTCATCTCCTTGAGTTTCTTTTTGTGTATACTGCCTGCCATATATTTATGTACTTGAACTCTTATCTAAATAAAGGAAATTAGCTGAGTGTTGTTTATGTTGCATATAGTTTTTCCTAATTTTGTCATTTTTCTTTTGACTTATTTTATGATTTTTTTCCAATAAGGGCTTAACATTTTAAGTGGCAAGAGTTTCATATCCTGCTTAGTGTAAGGATTTCCCACTTGGAAACTTATTCATTCTTATTTTAGAATTTCTGTGGTTTCCTTTCTTTACATTTCAGTCTTTGACTCATATGGAATATGTGTTGATATAATGAGGAAAAGATCAAGCAAAAGATTGCTTTTATTTTTATTCTTTAAAAAGTTAGGTATTTGGGTCCAGGGATTTAGCTCAGTGGTTCTGGTGCCTGCCTCACAAGCGCAAGGTCCCAAGTTCAATCCCCGGTACCAAAAAAAAAAAAAAAAAAGGTATTTGTCCTAACAGTGTTTATTGAATTCAGGGGGCATGATCAATGAGTTTTGTTTTTGAAATCATGTTATTTTTATAAGAAAGGCTTACTTAATCATTATCTTTCTGTTTGTATGTAATTATTCAAAAATTTAATTCTCAGTCTGCTAAATAAACTCACAGAAAAATTTGTAGAGCTTATAACTAGTATAGGGAATGAAATGAGGTTGAAGGTGGAATTTCATGGTACTACATTGCAGATTATTCTGTCTTACTATTATGTTAGCAAACCACACGAATGAGAGAAGTTCATAGGCAGCAATGTTAGTTACAGAGTTGAAGGTAGCGTTAATAAGATTTTGAAGTTTATATAGTAACATACATTTATGTAATGCTAAGGGCTATAATATAATCTCATTTTTATTGTGATCCTCCCAACTAGACAGAGGTAAGCAAGACATTCTGTATATTTGAGAAGTAAATGAACTGCCCAAGGTCACAGTGCTAGAAAGCAACAGAGCCAGTATTCAAACTCTGGTCTCTTGATTCTGAGACCAATGTTCTGTTGATTGCCTTGTGCTTAGCATGTATCATGTCTGATAGCTTATTCTTCTTTCCTTCCTTTCATTCTTTCCTTTCTTTATTTACTTACTTGTGGTGTTGAGGATTGAAGCCAAGGCTTCAGGCATGCTAGGCATACCACTGAGCTCCCTTCACCTTCCAGCTCTGGTGGCTTATACTTTAAAGAATATACTGTGTGAACCCAGCCATGTACATTGAGGCACATTTTAATACATTTATGCTACAAATTGCAACAACACATAATAGGGCTTCATCAAACAAAAGTCAGCACAAAATGAGCTTCATTAAGTAATTTTAGAATGCCAGTAATTTCATAGTGATATTAATATGTGGTTATTAAATTAGATCACAAAAATTGCTTTTCTTTTAAATAGAAAATGTTATCAATCACATGGATGAAGAAGGATTTACTCCTCTGATGTGGGCTGCAGCACATGGGCAAATAGCTGTGGTAGAATTTCTACTTCAGAATGTAAGGAAAATACCTCAGAAAATGTATATGTATAGTTACTTAAATTCAGTTAATTCTTTAAAAGCTTCTATATCTCTGGCCAGCTAGATATAATGATGGAAGGTGCAACAAAATTATTTCAATGCTTTTCATATTCTCATGGAACTTATGTCTAGTTGGGAAGGCAATGCTAATCTTAGAAGAAACAGTGAGAAATAATTTAATGTTCAGCTCCCCCAAGCACAATAGGAATAGAAATACTGTCAGCCCTGTAGGAGGAGGCTTCTTAGAGGAGCTGTGACTCGACCTCAGAGTGAAAGACTAGTTAGGAAGGAGACAGCTAGAGGGAGGAAGAAAGGCATTCAGACAATCTTGGTAGTAACAGCATCCATAAATAAAAGTTTACATTATTTCCATATTAACCCCAGAGCATTATCTGACTTTAGTTTTGGATTGTAATTTGTATTGACAGAATTAACAACATTCTTATTCAAATTAATTGAAAGTCTTTTATTTCCACTTCTCACACTAGGGTGCTGATCCCCAACTTTTAGGGAAAGGTCGAGAAAGTGCACTGTCATTGGCCTGTAGTAAAGGCTACACGGATATTGTCAAAATGCTGCTTGATTGTGGAGTTGATGTAAATGAATATGACTGGGTGAGTCTATGATTCTGAATTTAAAATCACTATAAAAAACTCTAGAATTTATTTGCTTTAGGGGAAACTATAAATTTTATTAAGCACCTGGGGGGAAAAAAAAGTTTTTATTTAACTACCCAGAAAAACAAGTTAATGTCATAAACTCAATTATTCTATTTAAGTATTCTTCACAAAGTATTAAAAGCTTCTTAAACTACTTTTATATGCCCAATTCTTAGTAAAACATGTGCCCAGTTCTTAGTAAAATTTTCCACAGTAGCATTTAGTTGACTTTTGCTCCCACTGAAAACTAAAATCTTTTACTTTTGCAGAATGGAGGGACACCTTTGCTTTATGCTGTACATGGGAATCATGTGAAATGTGTAAAGATGCTTTTAGGTAAGCAGATGAAATGAAAACTATTTAGAAAATGCCATATGAGGGTTTTACTTTCTCAACTTGGCTTCCCCTGGTATTAGGAGAGCCACGAACTGTTGTTGAATACATTCATCCTGCGTCTGGAGCAGGCACTTGCTACCACCTAGTTGCAGTGAGAAGCAGCCCCATTACACGCCACATCTAGAGTGGGAGCTTTCATTCTTATTGCTTCCATTTGGGATCACGCTGGAATTCACTAGTGTTTTCCATGTCTACAGTGTCTTTCCGCATGAGTTTTGTCTTTGATTATGAGTTTCAGCCACTCTAGAGGACACCTCTTTGAGTGTCTTCCCTCCAATTCACCGAAGCAAAGTCTGTGTACCCCATGTATACTGACTGCTTTTTGAAAAATCCTGAAAATACCTTCCAAATTGGCTGAAAGTCTGTTTACATATGAGCCAGTAATAGACAAATATACCCACATTTCCATTTACTTATGTGGATTTTTCTATTTTGGTATAGAAAATGGAGCTGATCCAACGATTGAAACAGACTCTGGGTATAATTCTATGGATTTAGCAGTAGCCCTGGGCTATAGAAGTGGTAAGTATTTTAGGACGGACTCTCAGGTTTCATTTCATTAAAGCTGTATAAATAGTTTAAGCCAGTTCCCCAAAATATTTTCATCACTTGCAGTCAAAAAATATTGCATGTTACCCTAACTCCCAAATTACACTTAAAACTGTGGACAAAGTAAACAAATTCCTACAGAGTTAAGAAATGAGTTTGTTTACTATGCTTTTCATTGATCCAAAAAATTAGTTACTGGCAGATTGGTGCATACCTTATTACGAGATTAATATTTGTATAGCAGATTATTTGTAGAACAACCTTCTACCCTAGATTCTTCAGTTTAAACATTTTTAAAACCTAGACACAGAAAGTCCAATAATATGGACAATTACTAAGTCAGTGACCAGCTGAGTTCTAAGTTTTTAAAGTATTACATTGCATTATCATCCTCCAGCTATGAATTTTCCTATTTAGAAATAGCTTTAAGAAAACAGGCGGATGGCAGGATTTAGTTAAGTGGTTCTGTGGCCTGCCTCGCAAGTGCAAGGTCCTGAGTTCGATCCCCGGTACCAAAGAAAAAGAAAAAGAAAACAGTGGGGGTTAGTTGTATTTGATAGTTTTTTAAAGTTGGTAAACAGCATGCTGAGATCTTGCTTACATGGCTGTTCTAGTTCAACAGGTTATTGAGTCACATTTGTTGAAGCTGCTTCAAAATATCAAGGAGTGACACAGTCCTCAGAAAATGTAATCTGTCCTCTGTTCACTTTCTAGTCCTTATAAATGATAGTTTTGTTTACTTTTAAATTTTTACCTCCATTGCAATATTTTCTGATTTTTTTGTAAGTTTTAATAAATATTCTTCTAAGTAATTCACTGGTTTGTAATAAAAATGTTGATGCTTTTTATAAATGTGTTTTACTGTATATTTTAAATTATAAATTAATGTTTTGTTATATCAGACACTTTCATACAG